GGAGTGATGAGTGAGAGAGAGAGACTCTCATTGTAGACTTGTGACCTCAGTACTGTATACGCCATGGTCCCGTCTCTGTCTCTCCTCCTCCTTCTCCTCCTCTCTCTCTCTCTCTCTCTCTCTCTCCCTGCGTGAGATGTCAACCTCATGGCCTCCCAGCTTATCCCGGAGTTATTCTCGGGCATTCTCCTTGGGCTCGATCGCATCCATGACCTTCGCAGTGCAAGGACGGGGAACCGATCGATCGAAGGAAGGAATAACGAGGGAGCGAGAACCTTTCTTTCCTCTTTCAGCTCGAGGGAGCTTGTGGACGAATATATAGGAGTATAGTGATAGTATGCAGAGGCCAGAGAGCTCCTCTCACCAGCTAGCTATGATAGCTAAAGCTTTCCCCATGGCTGCACGTCACCATGCGAAGCTCAGCTGCAGCTCATGACGGCCTGCACACGCGTACATCCATCAATTGGAATGACGAGCAGAATAAAAATTTCAATCCCTCGTGCATGCGCATGCACAGTCTGTTTGCCTTTTCCTTCTCTGAAATGTAGAAGCATTGCAGGCTATATATATACGCCTGTGCGTATGTACGTACGTTGCTTCTCTGAAACGTACACCGTATGCATGTACTGTACTCCTTACAGATGTACTGATCAACGCCGTATAAGTAGCTAAGGATCCATCAATCGCTGACGATCCTGTGTACTCCACTGGCCCATATGTGAATAGTCTATGGAACTCGTATGTATAAGCTCTTGTTTAGTTCCAAATTTTTTCTTCGAACTTCCAACTTTTCTATCACATCAAAAATTTTCTACACACACAAACTTCTAACTTTTCCGTCACATCATTCCAATTTCAACCAAACTTCTAATTTTAGTGCGAACTAAACACAGTATACAGTAAGAGTAAGCTATAGCAGCCTTATTACCGGTCATGCTGTCAGAGAATGGTTTTCTTCATATTACTAATAGTAGTACAACTACTTAACAACCTGAAAGCTATACGTATACTGTGGGCCTGTTTGGTACAGCTTTAACTCCTAAATTTAACTTTAGAAGTTGAGTCTAGAGTGAAGTTATGTAGCTGCCTAAACCCAGCTCCACAACTCTAGTACATTTTGTGAGAGAGTTTTACCTAACTCCACTTCCAGTTTTAGTAGAGCTGAAACTGTTTAACTGAGCTCTAGCTTTAAGAGGGGTGGAGCTGGAGTTAGAGGTGTGGCCCACACTCCTACCTGGTTATGTTCGTGTTTCGTGTGGCAACTAATATGTCACACGTACTGTCGTCGGATGTGACATTGGCCTGTCAGCTGGGTCTCCATCAGTGCACAAAGTCCATCGCGTTTCCACCTTAGCTGGTATACTAATCTACTGCTCTACGAGATCTCTGCTTATCTCCAATTCAGATATCTCGTTTCTGTAGATGTATCTATCTTAGGGAGAGATTTTAACTACCGGATCTCTGCATACATAAGGAGTACGTACGCCGTTGAGTAAAGAAAAGATAGAATTCGTAATTTCTCTTGGGTTTTTATCATCTAGCATGCAACGTAAACCGTGATATACAAAATCCCCGGCGATGTAAACGTGAGGGACTACTTGTCGTGGATGGAGAGGCAATCAGGCAATGGAGGAGCTCGGCTAAGACCCGTTTCTCAAGCGTACGCCTACCACACGCGTGACGCTGCGGAGATGAGGAAATCTCTCCGGCGTAATCCGTGCTCCAAACGGAGTATTTTTAAATATTCCACAGGAATCCCAGGTGGAAAAGCTAGCTAGGAGAAATTAAGAAAATATATTTGCTTTCAGTTCACTGGATGTGACTTGATGATGTAGTGGAGGTTAATTAATTAATTAACCGAGGTTGTTTATTTATAATTGAAAGTAGGAAGGCGTTTTCCTGATCTTCCTGTCGAATCCGTCAGTTTTCCTAGCTCCGGGCTGCGAAAACGACTCGAATTTGGACTTTGGAGTCTCCGGCCGTATTCATCTCGCTCTCTCTCAACACTACTGATGCGTTGATCTAATCACGCGAGCGTTGATCCGATGAGCTTACGCCCTTCGTCCGTTTCCACATAACCCATCATTGGAATAGCGAATTAATGGGCCACGGATGCGTGGTTAGCTCGATCGATCGGGTTTGTTTATTCGGAGGCAGTCAGGCCGGCAGTGTGCTGCCAATCCACGGAATGTAGTGGTTGGCCGCGCTTTCTTCCTTTTCGGCTAAGAAAGACGCCGCTACAGGGACGAAAAAGTACAGTCTCTTTGCATTTTGTGTGACATCAGTGATAGCCACGCACCAAGAACGAAAACTTATATATAAAGTACATATTATGTTGTCACTCTCACAGAAATATTATTGGAACTGGTAGAAGATGTAAACGTATAAAAATTACAATACATTATGTACCCCTTGTCACCTTTTTTAATTGAAAAAGAAAAAACTATTCCATTACACTGAGTTTATCCTAATTCAATTTTTTTACTAACATTTTATCTTTCTATAAAATATCACGGAGCATATAAATTGTTATATAATATGCCATTTAGTTAAATATTTCTTAAAATAGTGTCAAAAATACCTAATATACATACAAGGTTAACAATTGATTTATCCGACCATAAGTTTCAAAGAAAAATATACTCCCTCTATCTACTTTTGATAGTCATATTTCATCTTATCACACAGATCAAGGATAAGATAAGTAATTCTACTTATTATCTATTTAAACATGCTACTAGTCATTCCTCGTAAACAAGCGATTTATTAATATTTACATTTCTCGATACCCATATAGCCAATCTTGTATGGAAGAATAGAGAGTCGTGCATTAAATCCGAAAAAGTCATTAAGATGATAGGTTGTTGAATTGGAATATGCCTATCAAAAATAAATTTTTCAGATTTGGAAATATAACTATTAAAAATAAATGGAGAGAGTATATACTACAATATACCATTAGGCTAGAATATATTTTTTGTGTAGCCTCCGTGTACAAAACGAAAAGTTGTATATAAAATTCAAGAATTTTGCATTACTATTTCCCATAGAATATAATTTATCTATTATATGGTACATACTACATAGAATATTTTTTTGATGTTTTTAGCATAACTCATGTTTTCATATTTTAGACGATTTTTCTTTTAGAAAATAATTCCTCTGTCAAATGCCACACAAAAATAACTTTTCGAAAAAAATGGAAAATAAAACTGGAAACATATACACAAACTTTTATGTCATGCAAGGGGACTACTGGAAAATTTTTATATTTTTTAAACTTCTATGAGATCAATCAATTGTATATATATAAGGCTTTTTTTAAATAAAAATAGTTGGGGCACTGACGTATTATAGAAAGAGTAAATTTCACAATTAAAACTACATATACTTTTATCAAACTAAACTACTTATTTAGCGTAAAATTTATCACTGAACTATATATTTAAAGCATTATATCACCAAACTACAGATTTAGTAATGCAGTTATCAAAGAACTATGTAGTTTAGAGTTTATATCCATAGAACTATCGTGGTTATAAAAGTTGCAGTTTTATAATAAAATTAATGTTATATATGTAGTTTTGTGAAATTTACTCTTATAAAAACAATTAGTGAGTAAAGTCAATGGTAAATTGTTAAATTGTGATAAATTCAATGGTATGGGGTAGATTTTTTTTTTTAAAAAAAAGTGTCCAGCTTGTAACTGACTTGTAGCCAGTGTTCTAAAAATCGGCCGTAGGCGCCGCCTAGGCGCCCATTAGGCGCTAGGCGCCGGGTAGCCGCCGCGATTAGGCATTCAATGGTGCATTAGACGGTTAAATTACTTAGGTAGTGTTTTATTGCTATTTTATTTCAGAACCGTTTGGTTTTTCTTATAAATGTGCTTGAACTGTCAAACTGCTTCAAACAGAAATTAATTTTCTTCATAATTTGGATTTCTCTAGATAAATATGATTTTGCTCGACATTTTCACACATGGTCGACACAAGGCCGGACGGCCGTCAGAAATTCAGAACAACACGCAGGCAGACGCAAGCGAGAAGGACAGCTCGATCCATCGATCGATCCTGGCCAATTCTCAACTGCAAAGTAGATCCATCCTGTCGGGTTGGGTCTGCACGGCAACGGCAAGTCACATGCGTGCGCGAGAGCTACGTATACGCTGGTGTCCTTGTCCTTAATTAGAGCTCTAATTAACCCGCAGATCGACTCGATATATCATATACGGAGTACATGTCTCGTCCTAATGCATAGTAGAATGAGAATCGATGGCTCTGTTTAGTTTTAAACTTTTTCTTTAAATTTTCAACTTTTTCATCACATCGTTCCAATTTCAACTAAACTTTAAATTTTAGCGTGAACTGAAAACACCCGATATCGATCTACCGCGACGACGGCACAGTACGTTCCACAGCTAGCTAAGCTAGCGGCGCCTGGTGTGTGTCCCGGCCCTGGACCATCGGCCGGTGGGCGCGCACAGCGTCGTCTTCGTCGTCGTCGATCGGCTCGTCGTGGCGTTGCCGCCCCCACGCGGCCCTGCAAGCTGCCGGCGGCCCGGCCGGTCGGCTGCACGTCGGGACCCCCGGCCCGCGATGGCTGCGCCCGCGGCTTGCACTATATACTTACTGGCAGTTGATATATGGTTGTTCCCCTGCGACGCCGGCCGGCCGGCGCATGCGTACGGATACGTGACGCCACTGCCCTCAGCTCACAGCGCGCGCGCCGGCCCTGCGCTGCCGGTTGGTCTCGTCTCGTTCTCGTTCTCGTACGCGCTACTGCTACAGTGAAACCTGAAACGGCATCTGACCCCGTTGTGACCGTACGTACGCGGGGGGAGGGCGTACGTGTTGCGTGCGCGAGCGCGTCTGTATGTCTCCGCGCGCGTGTGGGCCGGCCGGGTCCGTCCAAACCTGGGCGCTGTTGCTAGCCTCACCTGGTGGGTTGCCGAACAGTGCAGCGCGGTGGGAGGAGGGCGGGCGGCGTACGTACGTTTTACGTGTATAACGTGGTACGCCCGTACGTGCGCGCGTCACGTGCGGGCGTGCGGTGCTACGGCCAAATCCCCCGCGAGCGCCACTGTTTTTACGTTGTCTTGCGTAAGCCGGTGGGCGGGGAGGCGCCCGGTGGCTTAGATGTCCCCGTGGAAAATCTACGGTCCCGACCGGATTAATCACCTTACACAATGTTTTTATCTATTTAACTACGGCGAGGCTGAGGCAGGGAGACAGAGCGGGCGGAGGCATGTGATTTGGACCCGACGCGAAGAGTAGATCAAGACAAGGTTTACAGATTTTCTCCGCTGATCCACCTGATGATTACGTTTCAGACGGCAGGCAGTGGATGCAAGGCAGTAATAATTCACCACTTCCTTCTCTGGCTTATACTCGCAAAATCACGGGGGGAGGAAACTTGAGAGCGAGAGATCGAGGAGAGATATATCATGAGATAAAGATGCATGCAGTGCAGAGCGCGACGCTGCAATAGGCTGTTAGGCTGTCGCAGGGCTAGCATACGCGCACTCCAGAACGCCGCCAGGGGACGATGGATGGGATGCCTTGTTGCGGCGTGCGCATAGGACCAGCGTGCACGGACGCACATGAAGGGGAGAGGTCGCCGTCCTTTTCCCCCTGAGTTGTTCCAGTACCTCACCCTGCCGGTGCACAACAGCAGCTAGGTTAGGGAGGATGGATTCTAATCTCTCGGGTGAATGTCACCCGTTTCTTTCATGGCACCTAAATGATTATGAAAAAAATCCAAAAAAATTCACAAGATAGATTAATATGTAATATATCACTTCACAAACATGCAAGTTCAAATTTAACTTCTACAAGTTGTAGCAAAAATAACAAATCAAACTCTAACTAGTATACGTATATTCACAGTCAAATTTGTTATTTTTGTCACAACTTGTAGAAATCAAATTTGAACTTGCATGTTTGTGAATTGTTATATTACATATTAACATATCATGTCAATTTTTTAAAAAAAATTTCGTAACCATTTAGATGGCATGCAAGAAACGGTTGGACGTTCACCCGAGTGTTTAAAACAGTTTCCGCTAGGCTAGCGGCTATCAGCTTATCCAACATGGCCCCAACACTTCGCGAGCTCTGTTGTCTTGTGAGCAACTGAGCACTATACTGCCACTGACTGCTACGTACAGGCCTCCCCAGTATACTTTAGCCTCTTGATTTACTGTCAGGACACTGCGATCTCATGCATGTGCACGCGGCCTCATGCAAAGTTGCATGTGCACAGTAATACACAGTTGCACAATACACATTGATACAGTAACAAGTGGCTCTGACTTGCACTTGCACTTGCACTTAAAAGCCCTGATGATTGATATTATAGTTTGCGAAGTCGCTGGAATGTAAAGAAACGACCATAAAACAAAAGCAATCGTGTGTGTTCTTGTGTGTGCGAGTGAGAGAGATTGAGGGTAAAAGATGAGTGTGAGAGGGAGAGAAGCTAGCATCACCGTATACGCTCCCTCCCGTGACTGAGTGGTCCTTGCATTGCATCAGTTGATGATCTCTCTCCGAATCCATTTCTCTTTCCTCCCTCCCCACTATGCATGGGCTATTCTCTTTCCAGTGCCCATGCATGCACGGCGAGCATACCGAGAGAGGGGAGAAACAAGGGGCAGGGCTGCGCTGCGCCGCGCTGCAAAAGCCATGGCTTGTGTCATGTGGAAGGCACAAAAGGGGAAAGGAAAGAAGGCAGCAGGAAGAGGAGACGACAGACATCCAAAGGCCGCGCGCGCAGGATGCAGATGAAGCAGCTCAGCTCAGCTACACCATACTACTACTAGCTTCTTTCCGTGGACACATTGCGCCGCGCCATATACATAAGCGAAGCATATGCATGCTGCATGCATGGCTAGCTCTTGTACCGAAACCGAAGCCCCCCCCCCCCCCCCCCCCGGGGTCAAAAGCATAAACCTGGCGTTTTATTGCTGCAGCTTGCAGCTAGGTAGCGCGCGCGGCGCGGTGCCTGCTGCCTGCCTGTGTGCCTGCAGGTCTCGCCCGCAGCCGCGCGGCTGCTCGATCGAGGGCTTGCCCTTGTTTGTCCACACCCGCTTGGAGCAACGCGTTTGCACGTTTGTGTATAGGGGAGGCCAACGCGCGCCGTGGCGTGGACGCGTGACTCGTAGGGCTTTCGCACGAGCACGGCCGGCATGTGTAGCTCACGAGCGAATATGGATAGATATTTTTTTCACCTTTTTTTGGAGCAGAAGCAGGTCCAAGAAAAATAATATATAATATATGACGAATGAGCCTGATTAATTTAAAAGCTTGTCAAGATATTCGAACCATATTACTAATGGACAGGGCTAGCTTAAGTAATACACAATTTTTCTATTTGCATTGTAATTTTTCCAGTGAATTAGGATTAAAAGTAGTTTCTTATCTACTTAAAGGAGATAGAAGAGATAAAATTATACTTACATATCATAGAGAGGATAATCATGTAGGGAAAAAAAGGCTGAAAATAAGCGAAAAATATAGCGACATAATTCTAGCAATCCTGTTCTGTCAATTGTATTTTGAAAATTAACATGCCTGGTCGTGGATGTTTAGTGACTGAAACAATTTAGGAGGCTATTGCATCCCAAATTTGATGCCATGTTCATATTTACACACAACATTGGCAGGCAAATGATGAGCTGCTGGACTGGTGGATGAATGGAGTAGCGGCAACTGAAGTGATGAAAAACGACTGTGTACATTGCATTCAAGGGCCTCACCTTTTCAACTTTAAATTTGGAGCTGATTTTGATGTTCTTTCATCGAAGTTTATTTTTCAGCCTTTACTTTTAGATCGATAAGAACACGTATATAAAAATTTTATTCACAAATTACTTTTCGTTTGTAAATATGCAGTTTGGTTTATTCCGCGAATAAGCAAAACGATGGGTCCGCAATATAATATCTTCATCTTGGTTTGTTTGGAGATTAAAGAAATCAAATTGTATTAAGAAACGAGGAGCTTACCACCACATCAATCATGGAATGGGTCACTAAGGAACTCAAGCAATATTCACTGCTAAAAAAATAATATCAGTGCTGATTCGCAATTGGCATAAGTGCTGGTATGAGTATCTAAAACAATTCAAAAGAAAAGATTGTGACATACAAAATAATATATCTTGTCGAGAGCAACAGTTTTCATATAAACTTTGTCACAATCCAAATTTGCATGAAACACTTAACTTCGAAGTCAGCATTAATATGGTCAAGGTCATCAGTAGTGTCGGGTCATAAGAATACCCGGTGCTGATGTGAGTGGCACCAGTGTGTTGATGTGAAAGTCATTAACACAGTGTCGGGTTAGATGCCCTTTCCCATCAAAAGTGTATTCATCATGTTCTAGCTGACAAGACCCAACACTAATGTGTTAGTCATCAGTATTGGTTAGTGGCAAGACCCGACACTAATAAGTTGTCGAATAATTTGTGCATAATGGTTCTAAGGCCTGGCATTGAAATTTCCTCATCAGTGCCAGGCGAAGCATGTCCATGGCGCGAACTCGTTTTTTAGGGTGAGAAACCATTATCGTGTCAGGTTTTGTCAAACCGACATTGCTGATGGGGGTACTGATGTGTTGTTTTGTGGTAGTGATTGGGTGTGGAAACAAAAGCATGAGGACTAGCTAGTACAAATGTACAATTGACACCACGATATAACCCGAAAGGCGCTATAAACGAGGCCTTTGGTTGTTGAAGTGTCTTATATTCTTTTTTTATTTGTTTTCGTTATCTACTCCTATTAGAAAAATATCCGTGCGTTACAATGGGTGAATGTTATATTAATCTTATTATTGTTATATGGTTTAGCTAGGGTAAAATTCACTGTGGGAATTCGCTTGGATTTTTTTTAGAAAATCACGAGCTACAATTAAGAGTCCGACTTTCATTACAAGTTAGCAAGCAGAGTTTTTTTAATGAGATTTATTATACACCTTTGTATTTCCAAAAGCATATGAGTTTAAAATACAACTGAAACACGGATCTATATTTCTAAAAGCGAACGATCTTAAAAACCGGCTCAACACACGGATGACGTACCAAAATACCGGCATAAACATCTTCACTTTTTATAATAGAAGAGATTTGAGGCTCTTGTACAGATTCATCTCTACTTAAAATATAATACCACATAAATTGAGTTTTCGAGAAAAAAAAACCATGGTAATTTAAGTTGAATGTGGTCAAAATATGCTGCCCTCGCTCGGTCCTCACCAAGGTTTTTATTTTTTTGGCAAACCGATCGAGTCCTCACTAGGGTTGGGTTCACATTCACCCCTACCTAATTTAATCAAATCAGAGTCTTCTCATCAGAAATTCGTTACACTGCCCGCATTATATATACTTATAGCTATTTGTACTTTAGTTTTTATTTCCTTGGGTAAAGGACATGTTCTTTTCTATAGATTAGCTGAATGCACGTGGTTTGCTATGGATAAAAATATATTGTGAATTACCTATAACAAATAAAAGAATATTTTTTCATGAAATGTGTTACCTATATATATATATAGGGAATATTCACTACAGATTAACTTTTTATACGTAGCTATCCATTTAGATTTGATTATTTTTTAACATTAAGAAGTTAAAAGGATTAATTTGTAAAATATAATGGTAGCATGCAGGTGGTGTGATAGATTCACTGTCATCGTCAATATCTCATTTTTAAATCAGGCCTGGTTTAATTCCTATTTTTTTCTTCAAACCTCCAACTTTTTCATCACATCAAAATTTTTCTACACACACAAACTTCCAACTTTTCCGTCACATCGTTCCAATTTCAATCAAACATCAAATTTTAGCGTGAACTAAACACACCCTCATGTAGAAATGGAATATGCATTTAAGAAGTTGACTTTGACAAGCATTTTATCGCTTTCCCACGTACGTCTCCCCAAAATTATGCTTTCTTATTATTTTAACATTATGACTTATGAAACAAAGAAAAAAATCATTATCATATAATATAATTAAGAGCATGATGAACATTATGCAGCTCTTGTGCAGTCAGCGCGCTGTCCCGATCGAAAGGCACGTTTTCCCTCTTCCCTCGCCTCCAGGGTAGACACACAATGCTACGAAAATAGCCACAAAAAGTCATATTATTTCTAGGGCATTTGGAGGAAAATGCTATGCGGCAAAGCATTTCAAGATGTTGATCGATGGATAAACTAGAATTTTTCTCCCCTAGCTAGGGCTCGTCTAGACGTATATGACAGCTACGTGCATGTGCAATGTCGTCGTAGTCTTTCTTGTTGAAGTTGCATTATCATCCAGCAAATTAAACCCCACATTGCTATAGCTACATGCATGTCGATGTACGTAGAAGAAGAATTACGTGCTATATATCTCTCTTAATTAGGACAGCTCTCAAAATCAATGATTAATTAATTATTATTCCCTATGATATAACAAAATAAGGCTCTGCGTTTAACCCTGCTATAGCATGTATAAGTATAGCTTGCAATTGGCCAACACATGGCCGAAAAATACACGTACAGGCATTCCACCTATTAAAGTGATAGCCTATATATTTTCCGCCAAACAAAGTGAGATAGCCAAATTAACACACTTATTCATGAACATTGTCAACACTAGCTCCTCGAGAAAGAAAAAGAATGAACATCGTAAATACCGGCTGCGCTTCGGCAACCACTAGCCGCGCCATCCGAGCTGTGTCCGCCGGAGCGCGCGCGAGCCTTCGATCAGGTGGTGGCCGGCGCGCCGGCTGATTCAGCACGAAGCCATGAGGGAATTGAAGGGGATCAGCGGCCGTTCAATCTGCTTACCATTAGACGTGCCTCATACATATATGCCAAAACGATCGAACTGTACAAGCGGCTCTATATGACTATATAGCCGTGGGCACAGATATTTCTGCACAGGGGCGAAGCTATAGTGTAACTGTGTAAGAGGAGGGTGGTGCCTTGCAGGAACCGGTGAAAAAAACAATAGCTACAGCTCATTCTATTTTTTAACGTATGTGCACCTCTTCAATGTAAATTCAGACATCCGTACCAGCTTAAATTCAGTACAATATTATACAAAGTAAAAAGTAAACCAATGATATTCCTTTCATTTTGTTCTAGCTCTGCACATCCACCCTCGTTTATGTACGGCTTCCAATGTCACCATAGTGTATGGCAAAGCTGGCTGTTCGTCAGTCGTCACCATTCAGGTTTCAGGGTACGGTGCAGTGGAGGGGAGAAACGACGAGGAGAATGTCAATGACTCGTGTGTACCGTATTTTCTTCCGTTAACAAATTAAGGAGTCCAACGCTGCATATATTTGTTTGCATCTGCAGCTTTCTGCATGACTGCATCAACAAGACAACTATCTTCAGAGAAAATAGGAAACGGGAGCGGACAAAAAGGCGAAGAACTTAGCATCGGCGCAAATGCCGCCGGCCAGCGCATATAAACATGCAAATTAACAGCGACGTGTGCATGTTAGATATGCGCCCCTGCACCCTTCGTCATTTTCTTTCTGTCCGCCTAGCTAGCTAGTTCACTCTCAGCACGCCAACCCCAGTCAGTCTCGTTAATTAGCGTGTGTCTGAAAGACTGAGACTAACTTAGAATTATGTTTCAAAACTAACTTATTAAGCTTCAGTTATATTGCGAGGATATCGATTTGATTGCCAGCAAACTAAAGCATAACCACACGTGCACCATGCATGCTCGAGCATGGGGACGCCGGGGGCACGGGGAGACGTAGACGTACGTACATGGACAAATCCACACGCACGAATGATCGACGCGCGCGCGCGCGCACACGGTTTTCGCCAACGCCTTCTTCGTAGTACGTTTCGCCTGTGCCCCGGCCGCCCCGCGCGCGCGCGCGTGAGAACTGGCCGGAGAAGAGGACCTCGAT